TGATGGAGTTTTGATCCTGTTGCCCAGGCTGGAGTGCAGTGGTGCCATCTCGGCGCACTGCAAACTCTGCCTCCTGGGTTCAAGGGATTCTCCTGCCTCAGCCTCCCGAATAGCTGGGATTATAGGCACATGCCACCATGCCTGGCTAATTTTTGTATTTTTTTCTTTTCGAGGCAGAGGCTTGCTCTGTTGCCCAGACTGGAGTGCAGTGGCGTGATCTCAGCTCACTGCAACCTCCGCCTCCCGGGTTCAAGCGATTGGCCTGCCTCAGCCTCCTGAGTAGCTGCGATTACAGGCGCACGCCATCATGCCGGCTAATTTTTGTATTTTTAGTAGAGATGGGGTTTCACCATGTTGTCCAGGCTGATCTCAAACTCCTGACCTTGTGATCTGCCCGCCTCGGCCTCCCAAGGGGATTATAGGTGTGAGCCACTGCACTTGGCCAGTTTGTGTATTTTTAGTAGAGACAGGGTTTCACTACATTGGCCAGGCTGTTCTCAAACTCCCGACCTCAAGTGATCCACCTGCCTTGGCCTCCTGAAGTGCCAGGATTACAGGTGTGAGCCACTGTGCCAAGCCAGGACTGGCTTTACAGACCAGTTTCTTTGGGAAATGGCTTTGATTGGAGGATTAGCTTGGTGAGGTGATGAGCTTTATGGGGTGGAGATGGACAACAGGACTGGCTATATAATTTCCAGGGCCCGGTGCAAAATGAAAAGTTTCGATCCTTTATTTTAAAAATTAGAGGGCAGGCATGGTGGCTCGTGCCTGTAACCCAAAGGCTCATGCACTTTGGAAGACTGAGATGGGAGGATCACTTGAGGCCAGGAGTTGAACAGCCTGGACAACATGGTGAGATCCTGTCTCCACAAAAAATTTAAGAATTATCTGGGTATGGCAGCTCATGCCTGGGGTCACAGCTGCTTGGGAGGCTGAGGTGGGGATCACTGGAGCCCAGGAGGTTGAGGCTGCAGCGCGCCGTGTTCATGCTGCTGCACTCCAGCCTGGGTGACAGAACAAGATCCTGTCTCAAAAAAAAAAATTTTTTTTTTAAGATGGTGACAGCAGAGCATTAACTCAAGTGTGGGGCCGTCCAAGCATAGGCCCTGCACACCCGCATCTGCACGTGTCGCACACCCGCATCTGCACGTGTCGCACACCCGCATCTGCACGTGTCGCACACCCGCATCTGCACGTGTCGCACACCCATGCAACAGCCCTGGGGGCAGGCAACTCGTGCTTCACCAAAGGGCCAGTCTGAGGAGGAGAGCACAACCTCGGGGTGTGTTTCAGTCAGAGGGAGAGGCATAGCAGTTTCTGTGGGACCACAGGGCCCTCCTGTCCTTGTATCAGAAGATTGTGAGCATCTGAAGGGTGAGGCTCCAGCTGGTGTCTCCTGAAAAAGACATGGATAGACCTGATCTTCTGTCCTGACCTGCTCTGCACCCCTCTCTCCCTCACCAGACTCGCTGGACATGCATTCAGTCACGGGCATCATCGTGGGTGTCTGCCTGGGCCTCCTCTGCCTCCTGGCCTGCATGTGTGCTGGCCTGCGCCGCAGCCCCCACAGGTGGGCAGGGGAGCCAGCCTGATTGCAGGGAAGGGAGATTTCCAGGAAGGGCTGCAGAATGGGCCATCAACGAAAGTGGCCATGACTCGCCCTTGGCATTCCCAGGAGCCCCATTAAAGTTAGGACTCTGGGATGAAGGGATCAGGCACAATGTCCTCATGAGAATGGAGAGTGGACTTAGGGGAGCCCCAGCCTACCCCCCGCAGCAAGGCCAACAGAAATGCCTTGCTCCCACTTCCTTGGTAGCTGCCAGCATCTTGGAAAGAGGGGCCCCAGATCTCCAGATGCCTGGAGCCAAGGGTGGAAGGGCCCTGTTCATAGCATCAGGCTGTTTTGAACCATAGCAGTTTTTTCTTTTTCTTTTTTTTGAGGTGGAGACTTGGCTCTGTCACCTACGCTGGAGTGCAGTGCTGTGATCTCGGCTCACTGCAACCTCAGCCTCCCGGGTTCAAGCGATTCTCCTGCCTCAGCCTCCTAAGTAGCTAGGATTACAGGCGCCTGCCACTGTGCCCAGCTAACTTTTGTATTTTTAGTAGAGACGAGGTTTCACCATCTTGGCCAGGCTGGTCTTGAACTCCTGACTTCGTGATTCACCCACCTCGGTCTCTCAAAGTGCTGGGATTTACAGGTGTGAGCCACTGCACCTGCCGAACAATAGCAGTTTTTCTTACTCATAGCACAGACCAGGACAGCAAGTCTCAGAGATGAGCAGGAACCTGCCCAGAGACATAGGCTGGACCAGATCCCAGTCCCACCCCCACCCCTCACTCTGACCGCTATGCCTTGTTTTCCATCTTCCTTTCCAGGGAATCCCTCCCAGGCCTGTCCTCCACCGCCACCACTGGGAACCCCACGCTGTACGCCAGAGCTCGGCTTGGCCCCCCCAGTCCCCCAGGGGCCCATGAACTGGAGTCCCTTGTGCACCCCCATCTTCAGGACTGGTCCCCGCCGCCCTCAGATGTGGAGGACAGGGCTGAAGTCCACAGCCTTATGGGTGGCGGTGTTTCTGACTGCCAGGGTCCCTCCAAGAGAAAGGTAGGTCCACACCCCACACTGCGGCTCATTCCTAAATAAGACACCAGGAGGTGCCAGAGCATAACGCGTGGCTCTGCCGGCACAGCCCCCACCCCCACCCGGGAACCAGCAGCGCACTCGGCCTCTCTGCCTCCTCCACGGAAGGGTTGGCTGGACAGGGAAGCACATGGGCCTCCATCCCCTGGCAGAATAGGTTAGCCTGGTTCTCACGGAGGAGAGGGCCTCCCAGCAGGTGACTCAGGGTAGCCATCCCAGGAGCTGGGGAGGCCTCTAACACCAGCCATCCCTGTATGGGGAGAAGGGGCCGGTCACCTTGGCTGTGGCCAGGTGGGACTGGGACCAGGATAAGGTGAGGCCCCCACAGGGCTGGTCCCTTTCATGCTGGCAGGGGCGGCACATCCCACCCGACTCCAACCCGTCCTCCCCCACTCTCTCCCCCCTGGCTGGGACACCTCGGGCTTTGCAGAGTGTCTGGTGTTCTGCTCCCCTGCAGGAGGACTCATCCTCAGAGTCCACCTTGGACTCTCAGCCCTTTTGGTGCTCCTCCCCTGAGACCTGGGGAGGGAGAGAGCAGCGGGTGAGAGTCCGGACGCTGCTTCCCCGTGGTCCATGCACTTCCCTTCCCTGGGCTTCCCACTCCCAGCCAGTCCTGGTTGTGCCCCTCAGTGTCCCCTTCTTCTCCCTGTACAGATCTCCTGGGCTCCGCCAATCGGGCCGAGCTGGGCGGCTTCCTGGGCAGGCTGTGAGCTGCCCCAGGCAGGCCCCCGGCCAGCTCTGACCCGGGCTCTGCTGCCTCCTGCTGGAACTGGGCAGACGCTGTTGCTGCAGGCTCTGGTGTACGAAGCCATCAAGGTAGGCGTCCCGGGAGAAAGGGGCAGGAAAGGAGGGAAGGGTCTCTGTGCTTGTGAAGAGGAAGTAATGAGTTCTTTGGAGACCCCTGGGTGGTAACTTCCCTGGCGATAGAAGTCTAGCCAGGAAACCCCTGGAGCCTCCAAAGGTTGAGTAAGTGGGGGACAGGCCAGTTGGCAGGAACCTGTTTCAACCTGGGTTGACAACAGTCCCTCCGCTACCTGGGCCTGAGTGGGCCACAGCAGTTCTGTGGATCTGAGGGTGTGGCTGGCCTGAGTAATTCAGCCCTTCCTCCTCTCCCCAGAGGCCTCCACTGAGGCTGATACTCCTGAAACCCCTGGGCGAGGGCAAATGGGAAGTATTTCTCATTCCCTGCACGGGACTGTTGGCATGGGTTCCAGCAGTTCCCGCGGATCCCTTCTTTACCGGCTCTCATGTGACAGCTACTCTGATGCAGGGTCAGTCTCTTTGCCCCATGTCCGCTGGTCATTCTTCTGATGATTTCTCAGTAACGGTCACTATGTCTCTGTGTTCTCTGCTCTGATCAGGGCAATGGGAGGAAGAAGCCACCCCCCACCTGCAAGAACCAGGTGGAGGCCGAAGTTATCGTCCACTCCGACTTTAGTGCATCTAAGGAGAACCCTGACCTCCATCTCCAAGACCTGGAGCCTGAGGACCCCCTGCGTCCGGAGGCACCTGATCTCATCTCGGGTGTTGGGGATACAGGGCAGGGGGCAGCCTGGCTGGATAGGGAGCTGGGAGGGTATGCGCTGGCAGCCCCGGGGCCAGACAGACTCACCTGCTTGCCAGAGGCAGCGAGTGCTTCCTGCTCCTACCCGGACCTCCAGCCAGGCAAGGTGCTGGAGACCCCTGGAGACAGCTGCCAGCTCAGAGTCCCTGCCCTCTAGGAGCCAGCCCAGGCCTGCCTGGATCCCCAGTTTCCTCCTCTGCCTAACTCCTCCCAGAGGGTGTGGCTCTGGGCAGGCAGGTATGGATCACACAGGATTCGACACCTGAGGCCATGCATGTCCACATGGGTGCCTGTAGATACATCGTCAAGCCCTTTGGAGCTTCCTAAGGTGCTTTGGCTGGGAGGGGAGAGGAAGAAATGGATTATTTACTCCCCCCATACTCTTTGTGATACACATGTGACATGTGAGAGACATGAGACACAGCTACATGTGATTCGCACATATGTGAAGCGCACGTGTGTACTGGTTGATGAGCTGGGAAGCCATAGCCCAGGCAGGAGTCACCACAGCCTGATTGGTCCTCCAGGTCAGGATGGTGCCCCAGACAGGTCACTCCCCAGCCCTACGGGCCCCCACCTCCATCACCCAGCCCTTTATTACACACTCTGAGAGTGTCTCCAGTGCCTGTCTGACAAGGACAGTCCCAGCCCGTTTTCCTGTCTGGCTGGGTTGAGCGCAAGCAGGCTCTGACTACCCAGCATTTTAGTTGCATCACCTCCCAGCTCTTTACTACCCAGATTGAGAGGTGACCCTGGCTCCCCTCTGAGCAACTCCGCATTGAATTTTCTAATTTGGGAAGTGCCTGGTTTGGAAAATCCGCTTTCTCCCGCTCTGCCCCTCCTTCCCTGCGGCTGACTGCTCCAGCGGTCTGCCCCCAGTCACCGCATTCTCCCAGCGCCAGCGTCCTTTGCTCCCAGATACTCTTCCCTTTTCTCTCTCCTGTTTTCCTTCCTCTGCCGTCTCTCGCGCCTCTTCCCAGACTGTGTCATCTGGTTCTCCTGCCTGGGTTCAAACTCTGCATCCTTCTCTAACAACGCGACTACCTCATGTCTGCTTCAGGCCCCCGCGCGGACCTCATGTCTGTGCTGCGGGCCACTCGCCTGCCATCCTCCTGCCTCCTCTTCGCTCAGTGCTTCTGCTCCCGGCTTCCCTGCATCTTTCCCGGCTCCTCTGCATGCTTCTCCTTGGGACTGGGATCTGAGGGTTCTCCTTGGATGGATCCAAGTCATAGAGGAGAATGTTTGAAACAGGGAAGGGGACTGTGACCCAGCTCAGAATAAAATTATGCCCTCCCTCCTATGCAGGGGGCAAGTACTGGATGGAGATGATTCAGGGCCCTTCTTCCAGCAGAAGCTAAAGGAGGAGAAGGAGTGAGCATTCAGCGAGGGCCTTCCCACCCTGTGACTTGATCCGGGTTGGGGATGAGAGGAATCTCACCCTCTGGGGTGCTGGCAGGGAGGTCTTTGCAGGAAAAGGCTTAGCTCATTTCAGTTTGTTTTTTCTTTAAATTGAATCCTCAAGTCATGTTCTGTTTACCGGCCACAGAGGGATGAGCCTGACTTCTATTTTCTGTGTGGTGAAAACAATGTCATTTATTTGGTTTTTCACCTCAGCCCTCTCCTAGGAGCATAGATGTCAGGGTCTTTCCTTCCTAATGGTGTCTGATGGGCGCATCAAGAGTTAACTCTGGCTTCTGGGCCAAATTCGAAATAACCAGTCCATTTCTCCTTTTTTTTTTTCTTCTTAAATGGTGAAATGTCTCTCAACACAGTTGTGGCTGCCTCAAACCCTGAACGCATCTGTGTTTATTACACCCGGGTGTCACTCACTGCTGATGTCTGCACCTACATTTCCACCTCCTCCCCCCCCTTAAGCAGCCTACGATAACACTAAAGATTATTAATGTCGGTTTTGTATCTCGTTAAAAACAGAATTGTCACTTGTACTGTTTCTGGAGCATTCAGCACTGCTGTGGCAAGCACCACTGTGTATGTTTCATCACCGCTCTGAAGGTCAAAAGCCTCATTTTATTTTGCTGGTTTGATTTTTTTTTTTTTTTAAAGAAGAAAAAAAAAAAACTGCCCTGAATTAAATGGCTATTTTAACAGTAGGCTCTTAGCGTTACACCACAGTCATTTTTCATGTTCTTGTTTAACCGGCACTGAGGTTCTGGTTTAAATTAAACAGCTGCAAATGAGACAATTTATAACCCATTAGGTTGGGTGGAAAATTGTTTCTCAAAAGCAAATAAGTAATAAATCTGGTATCTGCCTATAACTCACAGTTGATAAGAAAGTGGCCATTTCTCACCAGCATTATATATGATTTGGGCTCTGGGTAATTTGGAAGTGTTAGGTTTGTGTCTTTGTAGCAGTGTTTTTATTAGAAAAGAATCTATTGGCCTTTCACAGGGTATTAATCCCTTTGTCACCTAACCATTGATGCCTTAAGTTTTTTGAGTCTCAATTAAAAATCTTCCTTTTTTTGATGCATGACAAGTGTAATCAGTACTTGCTCATTTATTTGTCTGTATTTAGTTTATGCTGTACTATTCAGTTATTCTTCCAGCATTTTCTTTTTCTCCTTACAAATGCGATATTCTTTAGTGTTAAGCTAAGGCATTTATTCATGTATCTGTCCTTATAATGAATTAATAAACTATTTTCCAGAAATGCGGAATTCTGTTTTGGAACCATTGACTGTGACTAGAATTTCCTCAGCCTTTCTGCTCGAGGGAGTTTTATTTCTCACTGGGACGGGAAATGCTGCAGCTGTTGCTGAGACAGGATCCCTCTCGATCGCCCAGGCTGGAGTGTGGTGGCACAGTCACGGCTCACTGCAGATCATCCTCCTGGGCTCGAGCAGTCTTTTCCCCCGCAGCCTCCCGAGTAGCTGGGACTACAGGCACATGCCACCATGCCGAGCTAGTATCAAATTTCTTTTTTTTTTCTGTAGAAATGTGGTCCTGCTATGTTGCCCAGACTGGTCGTGCGTGAATTCCTGGGCGCGAGCCATCCTCCTGCCTCAAGTTCTGAAAGGGCTGGGATTACAGGCATGACCCACACCCCTCGGCCCAAAATAGTGTGTTTTTGTCTGTTTTTTTCAGACGAATCTCACTCTGTTGCCCAGGTTGGAGTGCAGTGGCATGATCTCGGCTCACTGCAACCTCTGCCTCCTGGGTTCAAGTGATTCTCCTGCCTCAGCCTCCCGAGTAGCTGGGATTACAGGTTCCTGCTGCCACGCCCAGCTAATTTTTGTATTTTTAGTAGAGATGGGGTTTCACCATGTTAGGCAGGCTGGTGTCGAACTCCTGACCTCAAGTGATCTTCCTGCCTTGGCCTCTCAAAGTGCTGGAATTACAGGCATGAGCCCTTGCACCCGGCTAAGGAACAAAACCATCTTCCTCCCTCAACAGGCACTTAGGAAAAAGACGCCAACGTAGGAAAGATGGGTTCCTTGATGGCACTTCCTTAGACTCTCTGGGTATCTCTTTCCATCTGGGCACACATTTCTCTGAACTTTTTTGGATGCAGGAAAGAGGGAACAACTCCAGAGATTTGGGGTCCACAACTATTCTGGTCACCAAAATTACTCATGACCACACAATCACACACATGTGCACTGTGTATACAAGCTCAGAGACCCACACATGCATACTTGCCTTCACAAACACCCTTGTGACCATTAAAGCAAATGTACACACAGTCTCACACGCAAAACTCCACACTCACACCCCACACACATCCTGGATCACAGCTGGCAGCTGCTCTCTGCTAAGATCTCTATAGAGCCTGGAACGTGCTTTCTATTGGAGGGAATCAAGAGCTAGAGGCTGCCTTGCTCAGGACCACCCCTAAAGGGGCTGGTGGGCCAGACCCAGAGTTAATTGACAGATCAGTTAATTGACAGATGAGACAGAGAGATACTGCACACGGAAGCATAGCCATTATTTGCATATCACTCTCAGACCAAGGGTTGTGATAAAGAAGAATTAAACACTTGTCAAAATGAATTTAAAATGACAGCAATTCAAGACACCAACTTGACCTCTTCTGAGTCCAGGAGAAGCCAAGAAGGGGTTGTTGGGAATTCAAGCCCTGCAGGAGGGAGTTCTAGGATTTTAGGCCCAGGGAGGCCCTTCCCCTCCCTTTCCTGTGGCTGGGAGACCAGCACTCCCACTCTTTCTCACAAGGAAATCCAGTAGGGCTTTGGCACATTGCGGTCCTCGACCTAGAATTTTTCCATTGCTTCCCGCTGCTCACACGCCTCACGTCCTGCTTCTCAGGCTCATCTTCCAGTAGCTACTGCAAAGTGAACAGTCCTGGGCTATGCCAGCTCCAACATTAGTAAACCTGTCCATCTACGGCCACTCTGATTTCTGGAGGCCTGTACTTCCTTGCTTATCTGCACCAAAGTTAGTTTTGTACATGGTTAACACTCCAGGTCCGAAAGTTCCAGAGTTGGTATCAAAAGAGAGACTTAGTTTTTCCTCTGCCATCCCAGTCCAGAGCCAAAGTAGCAAATGGCTGCATTAGGCCACCATTCATTTATTATTTATTATTTATTTATTTACTGAGACAGGGTCTCTGCTGCCCAGGCTGGAGTGCAGTGGGACTACAGGCATGCACTAGCATGTCTGGCTAATGTTTGTATTTTTTGTAGTGACAGGTTTTCACCATGTTGCCCAGGCTGGTCTTGACCTCCTGGGCTCAAGTGACCTGCCCACTCCGGCCTCCCAAAGTGCTGGGATTACAGGTGGGAGCCACCAAGCCTAGCCTGCCACCTTTAAATCTCTAGCTCCTAGAACTTAGTAGCTGATCATTAATTTTGATGGACTAGTCCATCATGCTGGACTCAACAGAAGAGCATTTAATAGCGAGTGGCCAAGATTCAAGGCCCCTGAGGGCTAGCATGAGTATGACTCTGCCAAGAGACATGCTTACCTTCTGTAACATTCTCATGTGGGACCTTATATGCTCTCTAACGTGAATGATTGAGGGCCGCCTTTGTGGCACGGAAACGATACTGGGAATTGTAACTTTCTATGAGCTTTTCCAGTTACCAGGTCGTTTGTCAGGACCTCTGCGGTTTAAAGGTCTCTAGGGATGAACAGGAGAGAGAAGATTATTTTCATGTTTCAGATGAGCTCGCTGAGAGTGACTGGGCTGGGCTGCAGGCAGAACCGAGGTCGGAAGCCAGGCGCCTTTAGAGCTCTCATTGTCCTGCTGGGTCTGTTCTCTCCGGGCAGTCCACCCCACTGAGAGCCAGAACAGGGCTCCTCGGTCCAGAGAAGCCAGCATTGCAGCTACATGATCTTTCCTTGGAGTGGAAGGACCAGAAATCCACGGAAAACTCAATCTTTGACAACTTTATGCAGCTTTTTAGAGAATTAGCTCAAAAATACGGACTTGGAGGAGGGTGCAGCGAGAGAGTGAGTCAGAGCGAATCCCGCAGCTGTGAGTGTCTTTCCGCAGCACGGACCCACTCCGCAGTCCGCTGGGTGTCCACGTCCCCAGCCCCCCAGGGCCCGGGCAGGTCCGCGGGGAGGGGATGCTCGGCCGCAGCCCGGGACGGCGCCGGACGCTCCGGCCACAGTTCAAAGCGCAGGGGGCGCGTCCGCCGCGCAGCCGGGAATGTCCGGCCGCTTAAAGCGCTCGCCGGCTCTTTTGTTCCCCAGACCCGGCCTCCGGGGAGAGGGGCTGGGGGAGGGGACCGGGAGCGGAGAGGAGGGGGCGGCGGGCTGGGGAGGAGGGCGGGGCGGCCGCGAGCGGTGCGGGTGTGCAGCGCGCACCCCCGAGAGGCTGACAGATCGCCCGGGCGGGTGCAAGATGGCGCAAGCGGCGCTCCCCCTGCGCCCCCCGCGCTCCTGAGCAGGCATGCGGCCCCAGCCCCCCGCCGCCCGGGCTCGGCCCCGGCCGGAGCCCCAGCCCCGGCCCCGGCGCCGGCCCCGCGGGACGTTGTGAGCCGCGAGAGGCCCGGGAGCCGCGCGTCGCCGAGCCGAGAGCCCCATGGCTGTGCCGCGCGCCGCGTCTCCGCGCCGCCCGCCTGCGCTGCGCTGGCCCGGGCTCCTGCTCCTGCTCCTGCTGCCGCCGCTGCTGCTGCTGCCGGCGCCGGGCGAGGGTGAGCGAAGCGCCCCGGACCGGGCGGCTGCGGACGGAGCCCGGGGAAGGGCGCGCGGGGAGCGAGAGGGCGCGAGGGGCGGACCCGGGGAGAGCAGCGCGGACGTGCGGGCTGACCCCGCGTGGGAGGGAGCCAGCCGGACCCAGCGGAGCCGGACTGTCGGGGGCTCCTGGGGCGTGATGAGGACCGAGCCCGCCGGAGGGAGACCGGGTCAGTCCGGGAGCCCAGACGGAGGGGCAAGGAGTGCAGCGAAGCGGGAGCAAGCGGGGCGGGTTGGCGCGGGGACAGAGGGAAAGCAGCCCGGAGAGACCGCACGGCTAAGCGCCGACCCCGGCGGACGAGCTGGGGTGCTCGGTGCCCGGCAGTGGACGTAGCCCGAGGCGGCCGAGGCAGAGGACAGCAGCCCGGGGGGCGGAGACCGGGATCCTGCCCGCTGCACTGGGCGGAGGTGGCGCGTCCTGCGTTTGGAGCTGAGAGTGGGCCGGGGAGTGCGCGGGAGAGACCGAAGAAGAGGGGGAAGGAGATTCCTGGAGGGCAGCGCGTGGCCAGGGAGCGACGCGGGACACAGCCCGAGAGCCAAGAGGGAGAGAAGCCACCGCGAGCGAGAGCGAGCGCGCCGCGGGGATGCTCACGTGCCCCTGCCCTTCCCCGGAGTGTGCACACGCGGAGACCCTGCCCCTGGCTCTTGCGGTCCGCCGGCTCGGCTGCCTGGGGCTCGGTCACCACCACCCTGTTCCCTTTAGTGGCTGCAATGGGCTCACTCCGGGGAGAGGAGTGAAAATCTAGTCCCTTCTCCTCCCACCTCAAGTTCTCCACAGACGCTCAGCTGGGCGCTATTCTTTCTCCACTCCACTCCCAGGAAGCAGAAGATCGCGTCCGCGTCAAGGAGAAACTTTTTCCCCCGACAGCTATACCGGGGTTGGACTGGGGGCTAAGGCGACTGAAACTCACGACCTGGGGAGAATGCGCAGGGGTTTGAATAAGTGCGGTCCTCAAAAGTCTTAAAACATTACATCTCCCTGGGCGGGGTGGGGGGGCGGGGGAGGGTGCCTGTAACCCCAAAGCCCCTCCTTTCTCCCCACCCACTTGCCCATCTTCCCCAGCCTGGGAGGGCCCTAGTCTGCTGGGGAGGGGCCATCTCCAGGATCGCTAGTTATCTAGAAACGTGAGGAGGGGCCTGTGGCTGCCCCTTCGGACCAGGTGAATTCATTCCTCCTTGAGTGGAGTTTTAACTGGTCTGGTAAGTTGCTTGCTGGAGAAGTTGGCGACTTGGCATCATGCTTGGGACTGGAGTGCTTGTCCCTCCAGCCTGGCTTCTGTTCCCTCATCAGCCTTAACCCCCTCTCTTCTTTGGCCTCCTCCTTTTCCTGCTCATTTCTCTTCTGCAGGAACAGAGAGGTTGGCTGGAAGTGAAGGTTCTAGAATCCCCCTCTTCCTGGGTTTTGGGAAACCATAGTTGGTGTTTGCTCCTCTTCGTGTCTCCCTGTGACAAAGGCAAAAGGACCAACACCCAGAGCGCCAGAGGGGAGGGGTAATGGGGCCACCATCTAGCCTGTACCCTGCGTTCTGGGACTACACACCCTGCTCCCTGCCAGGCATTGGACCGGGCCTCTGAGGGGTTTTGGCAGCAAAAAAAAAAAGCATGATTTATTACTATCTCCCTCTGTATTTCTTTAGAACTTTACATTTTTCGTAGCGCCTTTGCGTCTGTTAATCATGCCATACAACGCTATGACCCAAGCCCCAGTGTTCGTCCTTGATTTCAGCAGATGAGGAATGGGAAGCCGGGACATGCTGAATGCTTTACCTAAGGTCACTCCCCGACGGTCTGTGAGGCTTCAGTGCTTATCCGGGGAGGCCACCGGAGTAGCAGCAGCTTACTGGAGTCGGGGTTGCTTTTGGGTCCGAGTTTTGCAGCTACTAACTGTGAGACCCTGGGCGAGTCACTTGACATCTCTGGGCTTCCGTTTTCTTACCTGTGAAAGAAGGAATGGTACAAATAATATCCATCTCTGAGATGGCATGATGATTAAGTAAAGTACTGCCTAGGATGGCACTTTGTAACGCGTAAAGTTCTGTATATAATAGGAATTCCTATCAGCATTACGGAACCCTGGGGATGGGGTGCATAGACCCAAGGAACTTGGAACCCTGTGGGTGGAGTTCTTCCTGCATGCTCTTTCACACTAACATCCCTGCTTCCCTTCCTCTCCCCTCCCCCACGCAGGTTTTGGCAACTCTGCCGAACTGGCGTTTGCTGTGGAGCCAAGTGATGATGTTGCAGTCCCTGGGCAGCCTATGGTGCTGGACTGCAGGGTGGAGGGGACCCCTCCAGTGCAAATCACCTGGAGGAAGAATGGGGTAGAGCTGCCGGAGAGCACCCACTCCACCTTGCTGGCCAATGGGTCCTTGATGATCCGTCACTTCAGGCTGCAGCGAGGAGGCAGCCCTTCGGATGAGGGTGACTATGAGTGTGTGGCCCAGAACCGCTTTGGGCTGGTGGTCAGCCGGAAGGCTCGCATCCAGGCTGCAAGTAAGTGGACATCCCTTGTTTTCCCGTTCTGTCGGCCAGCTGGTGATCCAGGGTCAGCCTGGGGCACGAGGGCGATGGGAGCGGTCCCATCTTAGGCAGCCTTCTGGAGGACTAATTTCTCAGCATGGGTCAGGTTTGAGGTGCACGCCAGTGATTTGTGGCGGTGGAATTGTATCATATGCTCGTTTAACTGACTGGAATGTGAATGGACAAGAATGTAGCCAAACACCCAGAGGGGAGTGGGGGAGGAAGCTTTACCCAGCTCTTGGGTCAGCATGTCTTAGTTTCCATATGCCTGACATGCTTTGAGCATCCGGGTTCATTGAGTTTGAGTCCTGTATATAAAGATAAATAATTGCCAGACTTTATGGGTGATTGAAGAGATTTTTAAGGGCAATTTTGGCTACATGCAATTTTTAATTATGTGCTTAAATTAATTTAAACCTTTGGGTAGGATAAGACCTTCGTATACCAGGAATGAAATTCTGGAGCTTGTCAACAGTTTGCATTTAAAAAAATGTGGTAGGACAATTTCAGAATTATCTCAGTGGTGACGTCACTCCTACTCACTTTACTGCTAACGTGTGTTTTCGAATGGGAGAAAAAAAGGCGAGGCACGATGTTTCAGCTCTCGAATTATGCTTTGCTTGTGCTGCTTAATCACCAGTTGTGGTGATGAAATGACTTCAGTTTAACTGCCCCGAACTGCAAAAGTTCTGTTATTGTTGAAGCTGTGCACACTGGGAGTGTGTTGCATAAACCAAAATTCTCCATGCATCCCAGGGAGGTGGCAAGCTGGGGCCAGTGGGGTCATGGTTGAGAAAGGGCAGAAGTTTTGGCAAGTGGAAAATGTTCTCCACCTCATATCTCTGGACCTCTGGAAAGGGGTGTCCCTTAATGAGGCTGCTTTGACTACCAGTGACAATTCCAGCTAACATTTTTTTCTTTTTTTTTGAGATGGAGTCTTGCTCTGTCACTGAGTCTGGAGTGCAGTAGTGCCATCTCAACTCACTGCAACCTCTGTCTCCCGGGTTCAAGCGACTCTTGTGCCTCAGCTTCCTGAGTAGCTGGGGTTATAGGTGCACACCATTACACCTAGCTAATTTTTTATTTTCTGGTAAAGATGGGGTTTCACTGGGCTGGTCTCAAACTCTTGGTCTCAAGTGATCCTCCTGCCTCAGCCTCCCAAAGTGCTGGGATTACAGGCGTAAGCCACCACGCCTGGCCCTAGTTAACACGTTTTAAGTACTTGCTGCATGCTGGGCACACTGCCCAAGTGCTTTACATGAATTATTTCATTTTGTCATCACAACAGCTCTGGGAGAATGGAAGCTAGGTCGTTATCATCCCCCTTTTATAGAAGAGAAAACTGAGCCTTATGGGGACTCAGTGGCATTCTGGTAGCAGAAGAGCCGGCACTGTAATCTGGGCAGCCCGAAACCACACCCTCCCACTTAGCTCCTCTGGCAGCCGCCTCTTTCCTGCGTGATCGCTGACAAGTTTCTTCCTGGCTCTGAGGGCATTTGCACAGTTGCTCTGAACGGCTGGTGAGTGATGAATCAGTCTGAGGCAGGAGCCTTCTCGCTGGGTTTAAGATGCCCCTTTGTTCTGAGGAAGGCTGATCCAGGCCCCCATATGGAGCTCTCTGGGAGGCAGCCCTGGACTTTTAGACCAAATCACTTCTGGCTCAGCCACTGTCATCTCGAGGCCCCCCCGGCAGTGCAGGGGAAGGCTGGTGCAGCCTCTGAGCAGATGGCTGGGTGTGAGGAAGGGAAGCATGGACGGACGGTGGGGACCCCCGGAAGATTTGCAGATCGGAGATGAGAGTCCTCAGGGAGATGCTCCCCATACCTTCCCTGGCCTGTGCCAACGCTGAGAGATAGATGGACCCCCCTGAGGCCTTTGCATTACCAGCCTAGAATCCTGGGAGATAAATCCCCAGGCGCTTACATATATAGCTAATCATAAATATGCTTTTCTATAAATGGTAATACCTTCAAGATGTTTGGTTTCCTTAAACTGCTAACAAATATAGTACAAGAAATTAAGCTGTGGGTGGGGTCAGCTTGGTTAATCCTCTGGGGTCCTGGAGACAGCTGGGGGTTTGCCTCTAAGCTCTGGCAGTCTGACATGGCCCCTGTCTTCCCTGCAAGACTGTGGTCCCATGGGGGAATGCTCAGATGCCAAGCAACGGTGCGGCTGGATCTCCTTTTCCCACTTCACAGGCTGATGTCCCTAGAAACCTCCAAAGCTGACTAGCTGCCTGGGTTTCCTCCTTCGTAATAACTCCCTGCCCATGTGCCTGCCGGCACTGCAGGTGTTCTGTCACCCAGGAGGGTGCCTTGCTGAAGAGGTGTGGGGAGTCCTCTGGAGGCCCCTGCTTCTCCTGCCTGCTCCACAGGGGCCTGTGGGGAGCACCCCTCACAGACTCACAGTTCACCCAGCAGACTAACCCAGAGAGGCAGATGGGCATTCAGGTCTATGTGGGTGGGTGTGCTGGGCATCTGAGCTCTGGCCCAGAGGCCGATGGCTAGGAACGCACCCCCTTCTATCCCAGGGGGTTCACATACTGTCCTGGAAAGACAGCCTGACCAGCGGCTGCACCACAAGCTGATTCCTTGGGGCTTCGGTTGCAAATATTTCCCCTTTAGAATGGAACAGCTCAGGGTCCTAAGAGTATTCAGGCTCGGGAGCCCTGGACTCTGCCTTGCAGCTCCACCTGCTTGTAGTTTGGGGGGTTAAAGATGAGTTAATGCTTCCTCATCCCAGTTTCCTTGCCTGTGAAACGTGCACGTGGTCCTGCCTGGTAGGACGGCTGTGAGGACCAGCGCGCCCGCCCTCTGCCTGGCAGGCAGGAGGCTCTCAGTAATGGGAGCCAGCCCTGCACTCCTCATTTAAAGGCGGTTTCACTGACGTGGCCTTTAAATGTAACCTTGGCTGCCCGTGGAGGTTAATCTCCAGCAAAAGCAAACTGCCCGACTCTGCTCCCGGCCCTGCTTCCTCCCTTGCTGGGATTCATTTAGGGAGTTCTCCAGGGAAATCTATCAGGGAGTGAGATTATTGGAGCCAGAGTGCATCTTGTTTTGTTTTAACCCCTTCCAGGAGGACTGAGTGTTCTCCCAAGCCTCAGGGTGTGGGCGGAAGCTGGCCTGGCCTTTGAGACCCTCTGCTATCCCTCTAAAGGGGCTGAGCCTGGGGAGTGTGTACAGTGACTGTCACCTGAGGCCTGTGTGCCCGAATGACTCCAAAAAGGAATGGACTAGCTACAAGGAGGAGGATCGGAGGACCCACCCTCAATCCCTGCCCCTCATGTCCTAGCCTTAATTCTTGATCTCAGGCCTCTTGGGGAACCAGAGCGACCAGCTCTATGACCTAGTTCAGGACTTCCCAAACCTTGCTGAGCCTGTGAATCACCTGGGAATCGATAAAATTCAGATTTTGAATTTATAAGTCTAGGCGAAGGGCTGACAAGAGCCCAGGTAATGCCAATACAGCCGGTCCACAGGCTGTACTCCGAGTAGCAAGGGGCTAACAGAGACCACACCCACGTCAGAACCTCCAGTGTGGGGGTCTTCGGGCAGCATAGTGAAGCCTTTGGAACAGCGGCTTCAGGGCCAGACGTCCATGGGTCTGAACCCCAGCTCTGCCACTCAATGGTCAGTGCCCTTGGCAGGAGTTACTTAGCCCTCTTGAGACTCTGTACCCAACTCTGAAAAAATGGGCACCATTCCATCAGTCTGTCAGGGCTGTTGGAGGAGTACATGAGGTGATGGGTCTACAGCACCTGGCACACGGCTTGGCATCTTGGAAATGCTAAGCATTATTGTTAGTGCTCAGTATTGCCCACTAATTTAGGATGAGGGCCCAGGTGTCTCAATCCTGCCTGGGTTCTCCAAGAGCCAGGATTGCCCTCACTCCCAGCCTGGGGCCATCTTGCCTGGGCAGGCCCAACAGTAGTTTAACAGTGGGTTGTGGTGCAAACCGACCTGGGCTCTGTGGGCCTGGCCTCCGTGGGCTTGGGCCCCACCACCTGTTGGCTGTGAGATCTTGGGCAAGTCGCTTCACCTCTCTGAGCCTTGGTTTCCTCATCTTTAAAATGGGGGAATGTGATGGTTTATGTCTATAATCCCAGCACTTTGAGAGGCTGAGGCAGGAGGATCGCTTCAAGCCAGGAGTTTGAGACCAACCTGGGTAACAGAGCAAGACCCTGGCTCTACTGAATAAATAAATAAATAACATGGGAGGAAATAGTATAAAATAATAATAAATACCAAGGAGAAATGTTGTGAAGATTACCTATGGTAATGTGAAGGAAGAGCTTAGCACAGGGCACAAAGGCAGCGTTCCTTAAGTATTGTTAAGCTACTAACATATATATATACATACACACACACATACACATATATATATATACATTTATACACATGTATGTGTGTGTATATATTAGTACCTTAATAATATGTGTGCGTGTGTGTATATATATATATATATATATACTTGGAGACTGAGTCTCACTCTGTCACCCAGGCTAGAGTGCAGTGGCATGATCTCGGCTCACTACTACCTCCACCTCCTGGGTTCAAGCAATTCTCCTGCCTCAGCCTCCTAAGTAGCTGGTACTACAGGCGCCTGCCACCACACCCGGCTAATTTTTGTATTTTTTAGTAGAGATGGGGTTTCACCATGTTGGCCAGGCTGGTCTTGAACTCCTGAACTCCAGTGATCCGCCCACCTCGGCCTCCCGAAGTGCTGGGATTACAGGCGTGAGCCACCGTGCTCAGCCAGGTACTAACAGTAGTAACTATTATTATTTTAAGGAGCTAACAGAGGTGAAAACATGCTAAGTTCTGAGCTCCTTTAGTTGTGGTGTGATTCCTGGAAAGGTCCCTGGTGACCCCAGACTCCTAGAAAGAGGCAGTGGGACATGTGGAGAGGAGAGAAAGTCCAATTCTAGTCCCCTGCTTTCTCTGCCTCAGTAAGTCACCTACCCTCGCGGGCCC